TTGTAGAGGATGTCAGTGCCTACAACGTCTGTATAAAAAGCTTTTCGCCAGCGTCAATAATTAATTAGATATTTCCTTCTATACTTTCTAGCACGTAGCGATTTATTATTAGCATTATTCGTCCGACGTCTGATTTCTTTTTAATTATGGGAAATGCATTTTTCTAAAGTACATAAACTTTTGGGATTGACTATATAGCCAACATCCTTAAATATCTCGTGAACAGCGACCAATTTCGATCGCGAACTTGGAAAACAAAGGGGACTCTGTTGAACCATGCGCTGACGAAACCGCGACGTCTTTGACCACTTTTTTTGCGTTCTTCCTGCTTTTATCTGGAGTTCACCCAAAACGAGCGATGGACCGATTAAACCAATAAAGGAGTATAAATACGTAGAGAAATATATTCGTATATACGTAAACATTAATTGCTATAATTCCTGTAACTTCCATGAAATAATTGTCAAAATTAAAAGATCGTTTAATCATCGTTTTTGTCAGCGCAATTAAATGATCGTTTCGAAGAATGTTGAAAATTGATGATAGTTATTGGAAAGGCAAACAAAGGACACTGTTAACTATGCTGACGAATCGATTAAAGAAAAAAATTATGTGACGAGCCGCTATTCAAACGGCGAGACTTTTATCAATACGGTTTTCTTCCATTATCTCACTTTCTCGGATCCAATGAAGTTCTCCTCGTATCGCGGGTCACGAACGTTTCCGAGAAATCCGGCAACTTGGCAATAGCAGAGAGAATACCCTATTTATTACGTTAAACCATAAAATTGAAGCGTTAACGATCATTTTTATGGGTTTTCTTGTAATAATCATTCCAAGAGTTCGTCCGAACGTGCGTTGAATCAGCGAGAAAAATATTTCGCTCGTTACTTACGAAAACAAGAATCAATGAATATGTACTAACATCTGTCGAACGTATCGAATCTAATAAGAATTTCAATATCTTTTCTAATCATCTTTTAAACTGTATCGCCAATTTTCTGAGAATCGTTCCCATGGATCAGGTTCCAAATTCCGGAACAAATGATCCGTTCAAACTCTCAGTTGCATAATTACTTAACACGAGTTAATCCAAACGTATTGCTCTGGTTCGAGCCACGTTTCCGCTCAGCTGAGATTTCCCTAAATAAAACAGCGGAATCCTGCCCTTAGCCTGTCTCGTTATTAGAAACTAACGACGTTTTCTCAATCGGTTTTAATTCGACCGCAACGATCGCGATCCCCCCCGATGGAATAAACTATCGCCGAGGATTCCTCGTCCCTGCCTTTCTCTCCGAGATCCGTGGCTGGGCTCGTATCGAACTCTTTCCCTTTACGGGCCATTAGAATCGCTCGAAGCTCCAATAAAACTCGACGAGATTGCGCTCACGGTTCCGCAGACGATCGGACGAGCGGGTTTCGCGGCGCGGCGTGCCGTTCGTTACCTCGATACGAAATTAAAGATCCGTTTTCAGCGCGTCGCGCTAACCGGTTTTCGACCGGATTTCGCCCGATCGGGACGTTCCACGCGACGACACACGCACGAAATTAAGATATCGGGCATATTCCGTCCCTTAAGTGGCGTCTCCCGCTTCGACGAGCTTCCGATTAGTCCCGACAGACCGATTAATTCCGCCGATCCGTTGAATCGGCCATTTTCGACTACACCCGTGTGCGATGTGAACAACCTTTTGCTCGGCAACGGACGATATGATTTTATAGGCCGAGAGATAACTGACTTATCCTTTTATTGAACTTGCTAATGTTCGCAGATATTCCTCGATGTACATAAAATATGAATTGTGGCATCGCGAGGCTTATTTTATATTGATTGCCAGTAAAACTCGTCTTATGACTGTGCCATTAAAAATCATTTACTCGTACGATCGAGTTGTAACTTCGATCTTTCCCGCGAACACACAAGTTTGATTCAACCTTCGTGTTCTCTTTCGAAAGTACAACATACGTCGTTCAACAAAGAAGCTCTGAGAGGAGAAACTGCCGCATCGCGTTTCGCGTAATCGCGTAGAAAATGAACGTTCGCGAGCGCTCTGTTTGGCAACGTTTAATTATCGCTTCGATACAATACCTGTAACGGACCGGCCACTGCACCGCGTCGATCGAAAAGAAGTCCGTCTATCATTAAAGGCGAGCTGCGTCCTGGACGAGAATAAAAATACAAGGTAGTCCGAAGCAGAGAGAAAATCGAGGAACAGGAACTACGAAGACCTGGTGGATGAAGAGAAGGAGGATGAAACAACGCGATACCTTGCCTTAAAATGATCATCGCTTTAAAGGATCGGGTGGATCGTCGAACGGGGAGGGTGGGGAGGTGTAGAATAGAGGAGATAAAAGAAGTAGTAGGTATATCCTTGATGAGCGATCGTTATCACGATGAAAATGCATTCTCGGATCGATCCGCTGAAGTCGATTCCTCCCTAGCTTCTTTTATTAGACTGCCAATTTCGTGGCTCGCTTCCTCTCTCTCCTCCGCCGTTGACACCGTCCCTTTCTCTCTATTTCTTTAGTCGCGCCTTCCCATGCTCCACCGTCCCTGTTCGCTCTCCTCTCGCCTTCGTCACCTCTCCCACGCTTCATTTTTCTTTAACGCACGAAATCCCGCTGACTCTGGCAACACGCGGTCCTCACTTCTATATGGCACTTCTCATCAGAAGTTCCACTCTTTCCTCGCTCTCTCTCCTCCTCCACGGCGTTTATCTCGCTCGTGACGTCATGCGTCGCGACGCGACTCGATGCCGCGCATATGTTCCGGCGTTGGCCAAAGAATCGTTCGATTATGCACGACCACGGACAAATCGTGAATATCACAGGGAACTTCTTTGTTGCCGCTGTTCCGCCTTTTTTCCTTCTGCCAACGAATGTATTTTCTTATGAATGGACACTGGATTTGTATTTATGATCCTTTGAACTTTATATTATAGGTGAAAAGTCATGATAAAGATAAATTTATTTGTTTTCCATTGCCCTCGTATCTCAAGTAATTTATTTCGAACGGATCCGACCACTCGGAAGAGTTTCCGCTACTCGGACATAGTTTTTTTTAGGTATATATTCTTTCGAAGGGGAAAGAAGGCGGAGGATTTCAATTTTCCTGTCACCGAGCGCCGTTCCATCAATCTCGGGAACCGTGGCACCGGAGTGGAAAACGAACTTGATGACTTCCAAGTAAGAAGGCGTTCTTCTAGATTACAAACCTCTTTGCGAGACTGCGTTTAACCCTTTAAAACGGAGAATCTGTAACTCAACAAGAATCCCGATTAAAACTACCAGTCGATACTTGAAACGATTGAAGACGAAATCGTGAGAAGTTTCTAAATCGCGTTTCACTTTGCCGAAGTTCGCGCGATTTTACGATTAGATCTTATTTATTTTTGGGCATGGCGATACGTCGCGATGTCTTTGCGATTTCTTCTTTCTCTCCGTCCTTTCTCTGCAATCATTCGCGAATTTAAATCCATAAACGTCACGCCTGAACAGAGATTCCAGCTCTCGTAACCAGTATCCGCGTAGAAAAAACAGTCTCATCCGTCTTATTCGAGGAAATTGAGAGGATCGACGTCCGGGCGAATATCCAAGATCCCTCCTCTCCCTGAGCCGAAAGAAGAGCGTCGAACGTTCAATCCCTCGAGCAATTTCCATTCGTCCCGATGATTTCCCCGCCGAGATCGAGTTAATGAGAATGTAATCTTAGTTGTGCGTGGTCTCGATCGTTTCGCGCACCAGCCAATACTCTTGCCATTTTACAGTCCGCACTCGGTCTGCTTCTTCTTCTCCGTTCTATCCATCCGTTCTTCCCTCTGCGCCGGAGCATCCGGTCCTTCCTTCCGCCAATTACTCCCATCGTCGTCCCCGACGACGTCGTCGCGCGGAATTACCGTCGTTCCTGCGACGGATCCCACCGACACGACCGGTCGTCCCTCCCTCCGTATTTTTCACGGACTTCTTCGTAATATGGAAAAAAAATCAGTTCCGTTTCAACGAACTTCGGATTCGGAAACGGAGCATCGCGTGGGAGTCGATTTCACATGGTAGAACGACGAAGATTAGACGGAAGTTCGTCGGACTGAAATTACAACGTTACGTCGCCAGCTCGACGCATCTAATTAAGACGAGTTAATCGACTCTCGCGTAGAGGAGAACGCGCCGAGGGCGTCGTCGAATTTTATTATTACCGCCAATTGACATACAATTCGAAAGACGTTGCCAATTATTAAACGGTACGTCAGAATCGCACAATGGCCCACCGACGACCGCACAGGAAGGCTTCTATCACCGCTGATTTAGCTTCATTACGATTTTTATTAATAATTTCGTTAATTGCCCGGCTTGCCGAATTAATTGGACGCGTCTGGGAACCGCGCCACGCACGTTTCCTACTTTCAAACCAACGATCGCATCGATCTCGTCACGTACCCATCGCTACTTCCG